CTGAAATAGCCATTTTTTTCTATAGATAACTCTTCTATTTTGCTTTATAAATGTGTTTACACGCACATATTAAAATATATTTTGTAGCAGTTTTAACACAGTAAATGAACCAGCACTGAAAAAAAGGGGGAGGTTTTTTTATGCTCAGCTATATCATATTATTATGTTTGTGAGAGCTTGAAAACCTTATTCAGTTTAAAGCGTTCACTCGTGGCAGGGGCTTAACTATTTCCACAAAGCATCAGTGCGGCACATGTGAAAGCTAGTGTCGGTAATTCCATAAGGATTCTGGAAGTGTGAGCATTTTATCTTCTAAGTCTTGTTTTTATGCAGTGCAATAGGGACTCTTATCTAGGGTAATTTTAGGGAGCTCTTGTGGATTGTAGGGAGAAGCTGGCACAGTGGTGGTGTGGTTGGGGCTTACACAAGGGCGATGCAAATGGAGCATCAGTGTCGTGGATAAGAAAAAGTCACTTTGTCCTGTTTCCATCATCGCTTTTTGCATGTATAACATAGATAAAATATGGGCTGCTAATTATACAAATTGTTTAAGAAGAATTCTTACTGAAATCTGTTTAAAAAAAGATGAAGCTGAAGATTACTGCTTGTTAGGCTGTTGTTTAATGAATGTATCTGTGAACAAAAGGGTTGCCACGTTCATTTGGACAAGCAGAAGGATGCTTGACCGCCAGGAAGCAGTGAATGAGAGTGAATCCCTCTGCCAGGCTCAGTCCTTGGTCTGGTGGCTTCCCAATTTCCGTCTGCTGGTCAAATAGCTGTTTCTCATGGGTGTTTTGCCAAGTGATACGAACTTCTGGGAAGCTGGCCGAGGACCTTCAGTAGTCATCCTTGTCATGGCATGGGTGGGGGTGAGGAGGTAGCGTCTGCCTGGCCCTGGAATAGGGAGAAGAGCCTGGACGAAGGATAAAGTAGCCAAAGACCTCTTGGGAAAATGGGTTAGAGTCTTATCGTTGTGCTTATATGCTTTTTTTATTGTGTTTTCACTTGTTCTGATAGCCAAAGTCTGTATCATACAAAGCTTCAACTCACAAGCCGGGTGGCTGCTCTGCCCACGGCAGCTGTGTCTGTTCCAGCCGTAGGTGGTTCCCTGGTCAGGAGTCGAGCACAGAAGGAATATTTTCCTCCCACATTATGTGATCAGTTGAAAACAGATGAACTGCAGCTTAGAGAGACATGTGGATATTCTCGTTTATATTTCTGGCAGGGGATTTAGGCTAGTCTTAGGAAGGTAGTCTTATGAAATCCAGAGTGTAGATAAGACCAATAAAATTGAAACCAGGGTATGTGGCAGCTGTCAGGTTCTTCTGAGGTGGAGAGGACGGGGTGTTTCTCCTCCCTGCTTGAGGTTTGGTTCATTTGACCAGTGCTAATGCTTTTGCTTCTCTTAATATTTTTATTTAATTAATTGTAATGTATGAACAGAGCCTGTGTATAAGTGAGATGGCTTTGGTTAGACCCCAGAGTGTGGTTTGCTAACATACTGCTGGTGGAGCTCTCTGGGCCCATGTCCTTTAGGCTCTTCACTCCTTTTCTGATGACGACAGGTTTGCTAGGTGGACACAGTCTGAGTTTTATTTGTAACTAATTAAACAGAACAGTCATATACAGGTTTGGAAGTTGCAGCAAAAATTATACCTACTTAAGCTTTTCACCCTGGCTCCCTGGGTCGATGAGGTTTATCTGTTGTCACATCCCCATGTCTGTCTTCCCCTGGGTTTACTAAATCCATCCAACAGGCAGAGGACTCAAGTTTTATGAAAACCAGTACCTACATGAAGGAGAAAGGTCCACGTTTCTGCTCCCACTAAGGGAAGGAAGGATAGTCTGAGCCAGGAAGCGGTGGGTTGCACTTGCTTGCCCGCCAACATACATGTGGCCAGGGGTCCACTGCCAGCCCTTGCCTGGCTGGTATGGGGGGGGAGGACTTGGTTTGGGCGGAGATGAGGGGGCCAGAAGGTTGCAAAGCAAGCTGTGACTTCGTAGCAGTGCTGGCCTCGTTTTGCTGACATAGAAAACCTTGGTGGACCCACGTCTTGATAAGCGTCTCAAGAGGTCATTGTAGGTTAGAGGAAAGACCAAACAGGCTTTGGCTCTTCAATTTGGAGAAAAGGCTGGGGTAGGGTATGGTTAAAGTTTACAAAATCATCAAAGTGATGGAAAAAAGGCAATTTAGAACTGGAACTCACCAAATCCTGCAATTTATGTTATGGGGTGTGGGTTTAGTAAAAGAAAACCCTTCTCTATCATGAACTTCTAGAAGTTGGCCTGAAAGGCTGTGAGGGATCATAGTGCCAATGGGTTCCAAAAAAAAATTGGATGGGTACCTTTTTTACCTATCTCTTGTCCATGAACTAAAGGGAGCACAGAGGTGCCTCTCCATCTCCCTCACCACAAAACTGTGGGTGCTGGTAGAAGAGGGTGATGGACTGCAGAAGAGCCATGCTGACATACCTCACAGGAGGTATATCACAGGAGAAGAGTCAGAGATCATGCTTAGACCTGAGCTAGTAGTTAGTTTATTGAGTTCTAATCTGTAAATTTAGGTACGTAAAATATTTAATAACTACAGATGGATTGGCGGTCAATACTCTGCTATTTACTACACTTAAAGTTAGTGTGGGATACAAAGGTTATTGCTTAACTTACTATACGTATCTTAAATGTTACATGCGTGCAAAAAATGTCACTTACCAACCCATCAACGTCTGGTGTCAGGTAATGGATCTCTCAGCCTCGAGAGGTAACCTTGAGAGGCATCCCTGCTCAAGGGGAGATCGCCGCACAGCCAGCTGCTATGGAGGGAGAGCTCAACGGACCCTGATGGCTGCAGATATTTCTAGTGTAAAGTAGTTGATTTATAGTCACATTTTCTGCTGTGTTAATGCGGTTTCAGTGACTTATCAGCCCAGTTTCCAGCCTGACTGGTTTTATTGGGTTTGGTGCCGAGTTCTCACTAATAGCCTCACACAATAGGATTAACTTCGGTTAGGCCTACTTGCTGAGCATCGTCCTGGACCAAAGTACAGTTAGTTCAAACATGAGGAGCGCATCCGTCACACCAGGGTGGGACATCCTGCTGCCATGGTTGGAGATGCTGGGCTGGGAGGAGTGTTGGGCTGGTCTTGTAGAGCATTTCTGGTGTCCTGGTGGCAGGGGCTGGGATGGCTGTGCTGGAGGACGGGGCCCTGGGACAGCATCCATCAGAAAAGAAGCTTGGTTCCCTTCCCTGCCCAGAGACCCTCATTCAAGGCAAGCAGTAGCTGAGTCTTCAAAAGGTACAGAAGGCTGGGGAAGCACACTCTTGGGTCATTAGGTTAGAAAAGGAGCTTTTGTTTTATTTGCTCAACAGCTCTGTTGTCTAAGTTTTTAATTATGAGGGAACTTGACTCAGGATGGACTTGAGCCCTGTTTTTCAGTAGCATTACTATTTTTTGCATTACTTTACATCCCCTTCAGTAAGGCGAGAACGACTCAATATTTCAAAAAATCAGTCCGTCTGGGTTACATTTCTCAGTAGAAGACATTCATCTGATATGCAAGGTGGATATTTTATATTTGACACTATTTTACTTCTGACCAGACTTATTTTCCTTTGTTGCAATGGATTATTTCTGTGCAAACCCCTGCCATGCAGGTGTTTCTTCAGAAGGCTTCCAACTGGAGCATGTTTGCTTAGACACCCTCTATTCACCTTGTAGGCATGTTTCTGTGGACAGTCTTCACGACTTAAGTCTTTTTTTCCCAACCCTATCCCTGTTTCTCCCTCAAAGATAAATACTGTCTTAGATCCAACAGAATAACTTGGATCTGGGTTCAGATTTCTTCAAAGATGCTAATTTGTCTATAAATAAAAAAAAAAACCCAAACCAAGAAACAACTTTAAAAGGACTTTTTTTTTTTTCTTTTTAGAAAAAGGCCATCTGTCCAGATAGTTAAAGTTACATGTTGTCTCTCTGGTGTAGGTGAAGTCTTCCAGATGGCATAATATCAACAATTACAGTAAAAATTAAAAGTCCTGTGTTGTGGTTTAAGCCCAGCCAGCAACAAAGCACTGGGAAGCTGCTTGCTCCTTGTCACTGCAGTGGGATGGGGAGGAGAAAACAGAACAAAAGGCTCACGCATTGAGACAAGGGCGGGGCAGGATCACTCACCACTTACGGTCACAGGCAAAAGAGACTTGGGTTGGGGAAAAAAAACCCAAATCAATTTAATTTGTTACCAATCAAGTCAGAGTACAATAATGAGAAGTAAAACCAAATATCAAAACCCTTTCCCCCTATCCCTCCCTCCTTCTTGGGCTCAAGTCCACTCCCAATTTTCTCTACCTCCTCCCCCCAGCGGCACAGGGGGACAGGGAATGGGGGTTGGGGTCCCTGCTCCGGTGTGGGGTCCCTCCCATGGGAGACAGCCCTCCACAAATTTCTCCAACATGGGTCCTTCCCACAGGCTGCAGTCCTTCAGGCACAGACTGCTCCAGCGTGGGCTTTCCCATGGCGTCATGGCCATCTTTGGGGGCATCCACCTGTTCTGGCGTGGGCTCCTCCGTGGGCTGCAGGGGGACAGCCTGCCATCTCACCACGGGCTGCAGGGGCATCCCCTCCTCCAGCGCACCTCTTCCCCCTCCTTCACTGACCTCGGTATCTGCAGAGGAGTTTCTCTCACATTCCAATCTCCTCCCCCGCTGCAGGTTTCCCCCTCTTAAATCTGTTCTCCCAGAGGTGCTACCAGTGTTGCTGGTGGGCTCGGCCTTGGCCAGAGGCGGGTCCGACTTGGCGCCAGGGAAGCTTCTAGCAGCTTCTCACAGGAGCCACCCCTGCAGCCCCTCCTCTGCTACCAAAACCCCACCACACAAACACAATACATCCTGCTATTAAGTATGTTTAATTCTGTTTGTATGCTTTTGATTATGTACTGCATACAAATAATCCATTTACTTTTATGTGATTTTATTCTAATCCTCATTCTTACTTTTCTTGCAGACTTTATCCATTGGAGTACTTGATATTTTTGGGTTTGAAGACTATGAAAATAATAGTTTTGAGCAATTCTGCATTAACTTCGCCAACGAGCGCTTGCAGCACTACTTTAACCAACACATCTTTAAACTTGAACAGGTAGGTCTGGAAGTATTTACTCTCTGATGCCAATGAGTGTTGACATGAGTTTGTGGCACTGATAAAGTTCTTAAATTGTCCCTTTAATTCCTTTATGTTAAGGAGCGTACACTGAATTATTCAAATTTAACTTCTAATTTACCATATGACTTGCTGCCACCTGTAACATAAAATCCAGCCAGAGATTTGCTGGTTTTAAATAAACATTTTGGGATACAAGTATTCTCAAACATCATGAAGACCTTAACTGTTGCCCTTTTGTCTCCTTGACATATGCTTAGAGGGCTCATCCATAAGCAATTTCTTTCTTGCCTTTGCCTGGACTTGCTACTGTGTAATTTAATATCACATAAAAGTTATTTTTTCAGCATCAGTGTTGAAAATGCCACCCCAATCTTCTAGTGGTTTTTTGCTTTCCAGTGTTAATTTGTGGGGTGGGAGGAGAAATGTCACTCTCATACGTGTTCTGCAAGGTCAGACTTGAGATCCTTATGACCTCCGATAGCCACAGCAGATTAGGAAAGATTGAACTTTAAGCTTTGCTTTAGGTTTGTTAAGTCTGGGTGTCGCTTTCCAGCCTCAAATTAATGTACTGTAAGAGAGATAACAACAATATAGGCCATAATTTAGCAGGTAACATATAGGACAAGATGGCATAGTCTATTAATTAGAATGGGAGGAGGCTTCTCCAAACATCATTTGTTATCTAACAACAAGCAGGACAAGAAAACTGCTAAAGTACGTGTTGTTTCTTGGATGCACAACATATAATTGGGCTGTATAATACAGTAAATATATTACAGACCTTCAACATTTGGGTTTTTTTAAGGCCAGTCTGCATGCCCTCCCTTCAGGTGAAATTCTTCTTTGAGTGAGGTCAAGGGAAATCCTCCTTATCATTGGTTTCGGTAGAGCTAGTATTTGATGAGCTCTGCTCTGCGGCCTGAGTCCAGCTGAGATCAAAGAATTAAACCAGCCCTTCCCATAAACCCTGATAGTTTCATTTTGGCCCTCTCCAGTGTTATATGAGATCTGAAAAGTCAGAAAGAGGCATCTCCTTGAATATGAGGATGGTCAAAAATAAGCAGTATAGCCCTGAGTGGATCATTTGGGGGATGTTTGCTCTAGATTTTGATGCTTCTCTGTTAACTCTCTCTTTTTTTTTGGTCAAGAAGGTGGAGCAGAACTGCTCAAACCCATTTTATTTCAGTTTTTTAACTGATCTTTGTATGTTGATGCACCCTACTCAAGAGGGTCTGTATTTCTAGGAACAGGTCCCTTTTACCACTATCCACCATAAAAAGGCAAACTAAAAGACTATTGCAAAGCCAATATAGCTATTTTTTTCTATAAAGGTAACTGACACACTTTCTAGAAGAGACTTAGGGAGGGAGGACCCTTCCTGAAAGCTGGAGAGAGATACCTCAGTGAGGTGGGATTTCGGGGCGCTTGGGTTTCGGCAGCCTCCACCGGCTTTGCAGGAGCAAGCTGAGATGCTGTCATCCGTAAGGGAATTCCCGTGCTTGGGCTGGGATTTCTTAGCAGGTCAGTGCTCCTCCCCGAGCCCAGGGTATATGCAGACCTCCTGATTGCAGCAATCTGTAATTCTCCTTGGACCAGCTTATAACCAGTGACCTAATTAGCTTTCTCTTATAAATCTGTCAAGCACATGAAGTCATTAAATTCAGTATTTGCTGTATGGATGAGAGGAGTAGTTGTGGAGGCATCCAACTGCAAAGGGCTTGTTCCAGTTCTTAATGCCAGAGCACATCATCCGTCTAGGGCTGGAGCACTGCAAGCTCTGCTGGTGGAAAATACGGTCATCTCTACGTAGTTTGCTTTCTATAAATATAAATAAGCTGTACAGCTGCATGAGCACTAATTCTTGGGTGAATTATTTGTATGGTTTAATCATTTACTTTTCCTCTTCTTGGAGTTACATGCTGCATGTGGAGGAGTGGATTTGATGGAAAGAAAACTGATAATACATATTCAGATCTTGGGTCTTCAAAATATCCTTCCTTCCTAGCTGGCCCAAAGATTAACCTGCTTTTTAGTGATAGTTGCCAGTCTACAAATTAAGACTAGGTAGTTCATATTGTGTTTCAAGATGGCAAAATAGTTATATGACTTTAAATTGTGGATTAAGCTGAGATATTTGTGGCTTTACAAGGGTTTATTTGATGTCTTCATGGCTGAAAAACAAGTGGGGTTATTGGTGATGAGTATCTGAAATGGAAGGGTCCTCCTCTGCATCCGGAGATAGGCTTCTTGTATCTTCAAAGCTTGCAGGAGGCTAAAGACAGATTGCTGAGATAGTTGGACGCTTCTGCTAAAAGATATGACAAATTTAAGTATTTGCTAATGGTTTTTCTTAAAATTGTAATTGATTTTGTGTGCAAGAATGGTATTTAACCATGATGTAATTGTTACTGTGGTATACAGCTGATGTTATGGAAACCAAAATACCTACCACAAAGTCATCTAGCAGAAGCGTGGGATTATTTTAACCTTTCTTTTCTTTTTTGTTCTTTGTGAAATCTAATACGATGCGCCTTGCGAATCTTTTTTTAAACCTTCTGTCTGAAGACAATGCTATTTCCAGTGGTTTACAAACAACCAGCCGAGGCATCCTCAGGCAGTCTGGCTTCAGCCTGATGCCTCCTATAAATACAGCTGCTGTCATGCTGCATACCGAGAGTCTGCAAAGGTCTTTGCAATAGCAACCTCCTCTTTTTGAGCCAACCATGAGGAATAAGGATAATGCATCTCTGCCCACTGTTTATAGTAAAATAGGAGGAGAAGACAAAAAATGGTAAATGTTAGAGTTCTGCCTTGGATAAAGACAGTTATTGATGTTTCTTTACCACGTTCTTGTTAAACCAACTGTTCTGGATCGCTAAGGAAGATTTACTGATGATTCATGATACATGGGAATATGTTTTAGCAGATGATGGAAGAGTACAAGAAAGGCAAACTCCACCCAGCTGGTAAAGCCCAAGCTCATAAATCCTGGTCTATCTGTATAGACAAACTCTTGGATTCAGACCGGTAACTATCTATTTTTTAATCTAGAAGGATTGCTATTGCAGGAATCGTAACTAAAATACAGCCTGCCCCACCACGTAGCAAGGGTGGTTTTCTCCTTACTGTGTATCTTACAGGCATATGGGGTGGAGGTTGGATGAGGGACTGTAGCTGGTGGCTGCAACTGCTGCCTGACGCAGTGCTTGCTCTGGGCGGCAGGAGGATGGGGTGTCCTTCACCAGGCTCCACGCAAAGTGCAGACTCATTTAGCTCTTCCAGACAGCATGGTCTCATCCATCCCTCAGGCTGGTGACTTCAGGCGAGATGTCCTCATACCCCTTGGACTTTTTAGGTGCTATCAGAGCATCACATCTTGGTGGCAGTTCTCTGTTCCCCAGCGGCTGCTCCATCCCTGTGTCCTCCTCAAGCAGAGCAGATAAGCCCAGAGCTGCCGTGATGTTCAGGTAACACCCAGGTGCTTCTGGGAGAGGAAAATAACATTTTTGCATTGCAACTTACTGTGGGGTTTGGGGTTGGTGTTTTTTTTTTTTTTCAATTTAGGGCATTGCACGAAATAATTGCTGTCTATGAAGGTATAGTTTGGAGGTCACCAGTAACTTAGCACCCATGATATGAGTTTCCTCCAAGTTTCCAGATCTTTGACAGTTTGAGGGCCAGACATACAGGTTTTTATATATCCCATTCTCCAAACTTTGTCATCTTTGACCTCACCAATCTTCCCCCATCCCTGCTCAGGCTCATCCAATGCTTGGCTTTTCAGTTACCCCCACCCACCTTTCCCTGTTTCAGCTGATGCTTCACAAAGGTTGAGAAGTCATCCCATAGCTTTCCATCCCACAGGCATTGCTGTTTAAGTTCTTTTCTACTCCATTTTCTACCTTTTGGTTACCTGCCAAAGCTCCATTTCGAGGACATCCTTTTACTATTTAAAAAAAATGATGAATAACTGAGGTTGAGACTGAAAAAAAAAAAAATTAGAAATATTATTTGGAGTGCGATCAACTGGCATGAGCTCAGGTGTTGAGCAAAGTCTGTTTTCTGGTGGGGTCCCTGGTGAGCTTGATGTCCCAGCCAGCAAACCTCAGCCTGCTCAGGTAGAAAAACTTAATTTCATAAAGATAACAGATAACACGTCCTATGAAATGTTTGCTCAGCCATCTAAAGCTTCATAAATACTTAGGAAGGTGTATAGGTTTTACTGGTCCTGTGTAATAGGTGGAGAAATCTGACAGTCTGGACTAAATGATGAACGTTATAACAATTTGTTCATCGCAGCGGGAGTGAATTAATTAAAATAAGCATTGATTTGTCACAGGACACGGTGATAGGTGGTGTATTTAGTCTGTTCATTTAGAAATGACTGCAAAGCCTGCGATATTTTAAAGCATCTTGGATATGCAGGGTTTCTCAGGCTGTGCTGCTCTGTCTCCCAGCAGCCTTCCATGCCATTTAGAGAAAAAAAATAATGAAAATTTCAAATAAATAAATTAAAAATAAATTATGAAAAAGGGTCTTTCTCCTACTGCTTGGAGCACTTTTTCCCTTTCTTCTAGTAAGGGGTTTTTTTTGTATCTCATCACTCTGGTTAGGTGTGAATGCCTTTTTATTGCCTCTGAAGACAAAAGCCAACTATCATAAGTCAACTGTTGAGGACTGGGAGGCTCGCTTCAAATTTGTGTTTTCGTTGGAGATGGGAGAGCAGATGCCCTCCAAAAAATGCTGCCGTCAGCTGTGTGCCATATGACATGTGGAGAAATAACAAGCTGCACAAGTTATTGATTTATTATTTGGCAATTTGCCATCATGTATAACTCACATTTGGGGGGGAAAAAAGGATGTTTAGTGTACGTAACTCATGTTAAACAAAAAAAGGATACTTAGAGTTGTTTAAATGTTATCTTTAGGATAGGAAGATTTCAAACTATAGGATTGAAATAAAACATGACTCTGGT